ATGAGAAAAAGCCAGCCATACAGCATGGCATTGTTCTGAGGCTGTGGAAACCCCAGTAAACCCACACTCTGAACTCAAAGGTAAACTAAGCCATCTCCAATTCACTTGCTGATTTTTACCCCTTTACACATAAACTAGTGACCAGTGACATGAATCACAGCAGCCTCAGTTAAAAAAAATAAAGACAGAAAGAAAGTGTAGAAACTAGCAAACACAACCTCAGGTGTTTTAAAGTATAGCCATAGTTTAAAATTCAAAGGGCCAATCTAATTCTTAAAGGGATTTCAAATAAGCAAGGCCATGTTTGTAAATCCAGGCTCAGTCCCAGATGGAAATACCCAGTGGGCTTTTCAAGTGATATTTTGAGCAATATATCAGGATAGAAAAATGGCCTATGATATTGTTGGTTTTGAACAGGAATTATTATTTGTAAGTATCTGATCATTTTGTGGACATGTTAGGCTCTACCGACATCTGGGGGCAGCAGCCTTCAATGCCTGCAGACATTCAAACATCCTCATTTTATATGTGGATTTTACTAATTCACATTTTAAGAGCCTCCTTAGTATTTGGTGTTTTTTAAATGTTAATGTGGTGCTGTATATAACTCCATGAAAATTCAAATTTTCATATGTTAAATGTTTAAAAGTAAGATAATAATCATTTCTGCAAAATACAAATGTTAGAAAAGTCTAGATCAAGTCCAAATAAGGATTTAAATAGTTACCAAGTTCGATGTTCTTATAATGACTGCTACCATTTTATAAAATCCCAAGATTACAAGTTGTAGTGGCATGCAACATTTCCTAGAATCTTTACATGTTGAAAAAAATGTTTCTATTTGTCATTGTAGAGTATGGAGAGAAACCCACATAGCTTATTAATGTCTTCTGAATTGTTTAAGAGGATTTTAAGATATGAGTTAAAAGAATTTCATAATCTTAATTTCAATTTCTCCTTTTCATTTAATAGTAGACATTCATTAGGACCCACACACTGTAATAAATTATAATAATTTCAAACAAGAATTAAATTACTAGGTACCTAGTGAAAGAGCCATTTTTTCTTAGGTACCCTGTAATCTAACTGTCAGATTTAAAATCTATTCCCAATCAACTCTTCACAACACTCACATTTATTCATCTATGTTAAATTAATAAAAGGTGTGAATAATACTGACAAAATTGATCATTATTGTTCATGTAGATTTAGAAAATTATAAGGTAATCTAAAATGTAAAAGGAATTGAGAGAAACTATTAAGGTTCTTATAAATAAATTCATCCTATGCTATTTTTTCAAATCAGGACTGAAACTTCTATGAGACTTATTTAAATTAACTACACATGCTATTTGATAAATTGTACATTTTTAGAGCATAAACCATTTTCATTATTTTTGACAAATACCAGTACTAAGAATCTACTATAGCCTTAGAGTGTAACAAATACTTTAGGAGCATATGCCAAGAGGATTCCAAAAGTAACAACCTAATAGTAGGCAGGGACAATGTAGCTTGCTAAAGAAAAGATACACTCTCGGGGAAGATCAGAGAGCCTTCCAGAAATAAGTATCACCCTCTTTCTTTTTCTCTAGGTGTAGCAATGTATGTGAGTTCTTACACAGCCACCAAAGACAAGGACAAATCTGCGCACTAACATGCCGGATAGGACTCCCTGTGTAGACCCTGTTTGCACACTCCAGTGTGCCTCCCACCCTCTAGCCTCGCTGACCCTCTCCTTTCTAATGGGCATCCCTGAAGACAGTGGGAATCATGGCGACATCTGTTCCCATTCACACCGATTTTAATTTACCAAAAGAGTTCCGCTATTTTCAGAGCAGACTGCAGAGCACAATGACAGATTTAGGGCCTTGGCTGAGGTTGCATTTCCAGTGTGTCAGCATTTCCTCCTCACTGAGAGTAAATTCCAGGGGGTCACAACAGAGGAATTGCTGAAATCCTAGCTTCAGTGGAGACACGTTTCCCACCCTTACTTATTTCATCATAACTGGAACCGCCACCATGCTGTCCTATCTGGTGGCACCAGTGTTGCACGGCACAGTAACTGGACGGAAGTTACTTCATCTTAAGCAAAAGTGGAGGTCCTTCAGACCCTTCCTATGAGGTTCTCCACACAAACACCTCTTCCAGAGCTGGTTAAAATTTAGTAGCTATAATATGACAATTTTATAACTACACATTTGTAAAGCACTCATTTTTTAAAACATGTCCACACACCGTTTCACAATTTGATCATGAGAACAGTGTTAAGTTACAAATATTCTTCCTAACCTAAGAGTTCCAGTTACATGATTTTTTTTTTTATGGTGTGCTTTTTTTGCAGACAATTTAAATACAAGCAAGGAAAGTCACTCTCACCCACACCACGGCAGTTTCCCTGGATAATTCAGAGTTTTCAAGGCACAATATGAACAGCAACTTGGGAGAAACAATGCCCAAGTTGTGTTGTGATTACTCAGATCTGAGCAGCTGAGCAGGGAAGCCGGGCACTGGAATGCTGTGCAGCAATCAGCACTGTTGACTAATCAGAATCTGAGACACTGGAAGGTAATAAGGGTATTATAAAGAATGGCTTATTGAAGGAGCAGCTGTTTATGTGCCGCTCACTAGACTGCCATGGTATGTTTTGGTGAAAATGTTTAACTCCTTTTAAAATGATCATTAGAGAAGAGGCGACAGCAAGTACCAAGTGGCAAGTTTGGAGGAATCAAAACACCGAGATTTAACAGCTTGGGGATGGTTATCTGGGTACTTGGAAATGGTCAGAAATGCCTATTCCAAGGAGCTTTTTAAATGAAAAGTACTTATTCATTCTTGCTTTTAAAAGCTTAGCAGTTAGGCCATCATCATTAGTGGTTGGTAGGGGTGCCGAGAGAGGCAGCAATGTAGTGGGAAAATCCTCAGGGCAGGACAAGAAGAAAGAGGCAGCTGAAAACAGCCACGGGGCACACAGACCAGAGTCTGCCTCGGAATTCAGAAATGGGCCCATCGTCTCAATAAACAGAAAGAAGGAGATGCCCATGTCAGTCACAACTTCAAGTTTCCAATGCTGTTTTTGCTCAAGATATAACTACTAACACCCTCTCCTATTTTGGCACCAGAGAAGTAAACGATTTTTAAGACGTGAGGGGCAAATGTAAAACAATATTTCATTCACTAATGTTATTTCCACAAAATGACAACCACCCCAGCTGAACTGCCAGTCATACCGTGTGTTAGCTTCATACTCAGGGCTGATTCACTGTTTATCTTCTTAACTTTCACCCCAGAAGCAACTGTCTGCTCTTTTTTCTGCCCCAACCACAATAGAAAAAACAACAAAAATCCATAAAGTATACTATAAAGATAACAAGCATTTAATTTGTTTATTATAATATAGCATTATGAATATTTCATTCTGACAAGTGTTCAGTAATATTTGAAAGCAGTCAGCAAGTGGTCAAAACTCTGCTATCTTTTGTAACAGTTCACACGTCAAACTGGCAAAGTGCCCACAGTGTAAGGCTGGAAAAAAATCTATTTAATGTCTGCCCCACAAGGCGACATGAGGTTTGATTGGCAGAAAGCAGAGAGTGGCTTTTGATCATGTGTCCTAACAAGCAGTTCCAGCTCCTGTCTTCTCAGCTGATGGGCTCCGCATTACCCATTCAAACAGAAGTGACAGACCACTGTACCACTCCCTAGCTGCAGTCACACGCAGTGGGAGCTAGGCTGGGGACAGCGACACTGATTAAATATATCACTTTTTCAAGACAAGCAGGTTGTCTGAATCAAAGTTGGACAGAATAGACTCAACATTATTAAAAGGGGATATAAAACCAGGACTGAGTGATGTGCAGCCAGTTTGCACAGCCTCGGGGATTCCCGGGCTGACAGAGGGAATAAGGAAGAGCAGAACTCATAAAACAGGGCCAGAAATTAGCTGTGACACCTTGCCTATTTTCCCATCACTTCAGGACCAGTGAGTTTCAAAATCCTGGAGTCTCCTTTCCCTCTTTAACTTTCATTTTAAAAAAAAATGAATTCAGTAGAGGAAGAAAAACACACGAGAGCATGATGCCTGCAGTTTGTCAATTACTGTCTTAACCGGAATAAAATCCAGATGCAGGCTTCTGCATCTCATTTCAAAATACACTAATACAGGTTCTTCTAACGAGGATCCTTATTTTAGAATTTTATTGCATTTATTCACTTGGCATTATAATGTAACTTTCAAATCTAGAAATATTAATCCTAGAAATCTTGCAGTTTAAGACTTTACAAGTTCTCTGACTACTAGAGGGCTATGGGAGTGCTAGTTATCATATTTAGCCCTCCTATCTTCTCTGATATAGTATATACGGTAGTTAAACATTTTCCTAAAATGTGTTTATATACATAAACATCCAAAATGAGGACATACTCAATACAAAATTTTATTGTCTCCATTTTATGTTTTTTTTTAAATTACTGAATATAGCTTCTTATAATCTGCACAGCATTAACAGCTACCTATGGAATGTGAAGAAATAAAATCTAAAGTCATTTTCTATTTGGTAAATAAAGTAAAAATAAATGTCCAAAGAAATAAAAATTATAACCAGCTATCTGGCAATAGGAACTAAAGAAATAGACTAAAATATAAACAATTGCATGAAACAAATTACTTGAAATCAAAATACATGGGCCAGTAAATGGTCAGTCCAGGTGTGATTTTAAAGCACTCAGGAGAGTTTCATTTCTTCACATCTCTGCTCTGAGGACCAGCTTTTATTTATTTACGGCTGTTAGTGGCACACGCCAGCTATTTCTTGGAACACCTATGCTCTTGTTATTCACTTTGGCATCACTGTGCATATTTAACAGCAACCTGCTTGTTAGATATTTAAGATATCATTAAAGGATTATCTATTCCTACCAAGGTGAAGACAGCTTTAATAGAGGAGGGTAAGGTGCTCAGCAGCACCCTCAAACAAGATACAAAAGTAATTGGGGGTGGACAGGACCAGCAGAAGCAACTACTGACAATGGAAAAATTAAAGAGAAAAATGCTGGGGTTGAATTTATAGAGTCACATGTTGCTTATTGTATAATTCAGCTAAATTAGTTTAAATTTCGAAGTTAATTTAATGCTTGCTGGTATATATTGGTGAAGTCATATACTATTTCTCAGAATAATCTTAACACAGTCAGTGTTTAATTTATGATCCATCTACCATAGAATGTACTACTTATAATTGATAAATTACTCCATATTAATCAAATATACATTCTATTGAATGAGAAATAAGTTATATGTTGTGTGGCATCTGTACTTTGTGTAGTGAAAGGTCTTTGAGGATGATGAAAACGATGATGCCAAATTTTATCCAAGTCCTCAAAGGTGCAACCAAGCAATCACATTGAAATCTGGGGGTTTGATGTTAGAAAATTACCATGAAGAGGATAATTTGACTTCCTGTGTGAACCCAGATTTTTCTTGAAAAGGGAGGAGTTGGGGAGTCTTCATAGGCAAATGCTTCTGAAAACCTGAAGTGCAGCAAAATCGTACTTTCTTTTCTCCATTTATAGATTCTATTACCCCCTTCCACCACTGCCACGTGCACTCTCTAAAGCCTAGGGGAAGGAGAGGACATCACTATGATGAGCTGTCACCTGGACCAGGTCCGAGGAAACTAGACTGGCCACAGTACTGCCAATGAAAACACATTAGGCCAAGTAAACCTGAAGCTCTCCAAAGCACACTCTCGCTGTTCTATAATCCAATTGTGAAAGAAGGAAAGAAAATCCATTGTTCAGAATAAAATTTTATATTACTCCTGCTTTTCCAGTTGAGTCTTTCATACCCTATGCCAGGAAATCCAAAGAAAGAGAGAATAAATCCACAAAATGTTTTGCAACATTATAAAAATAGAGAAGGAATTCTTTCTTTTTTTAAAAAAATCAAAATAATTAATTATTTTAGCCACTATATTATTGCTTACAGTAATACACGGCAATAACATTTACATTGATTGAATTCTGTTTCCTTAATGTGAAATTTGTTTGGGGTTAATTAGCACGGCTGAGGAATAAGCTTAATAATTTTATCTTGTTTACACTGGAGGCAGTTCTCCGAGAGCTCTGCTCAGGGAGGAAGTGACATCTAATTCCAGACAAAACATGGCGGTGAGGACGGCTGCTCACTGTGGGGTGGCAAGCCAGACCTTCCTCCTTGAGTAAGACCCCCACTACTTGGGGAGTCTAATGGGAGCCACAGAAAGTTGTCAAATTATTTCTCAGACATGGCAAGTTTTTAAAACAAATATGGAGCTGAAAGGGGAAGAAAGAAAAGGACATATACAAATGGAGAAAGTCTACGATATTAGACATTTTTACTGTCCCTTTCTAAAGAAAAAGCAGGCCTAATTAGTTGTCTTCCTAAAATGCGTACCTAGCATTTTTATTATGTATTATAACATTTTGCTCAGAGCTGACATTTTTATTCTGACAAGCACTGTCTGGAGAGCTCTCAATAAATAATACATTGACAATTTTCAGTAAATAAGCAGTGGACACAAATCGTTATCCTTACTTACAGCTGCCCTACTCTAATAGTGCTTTTACAAGTGAGGTGACTATTCAGTCTAATGCAATCCTCTCAGTGCTAGAAAGACATTTTCATTCATTACCACGGTCACAAGCACTTAAAGCACTTTTAAGCCCTGTTGCAAAACAGCAGGGATGGCAGAGCAAGTGGGGCTGACGAAAACTCAAGTTCATCACCAAAGAAACCTGAGGTTGTTCACCTAAACACTGCGAAATTCACTTCTGCCCAGGCCACCTCCACACCTCTAGAGCTGCATGTCTAAGAATACAGGATTTCCTTTAGTAATTAAATGTCTGTCTTCTTAATGCTCAGTTCTGTGGTGGTGGGCTTTGTTTTCTGTAGTAAGAATTGTTTCATCAACCAGTGCTGTTTTTTAAGCACCATAGAGGTCATGTTGCAAACTGTGGTTATGTCTTGGAGGAAGGTACAGAAACTTCAATAAAATTGGAATCCAGATGAATATATTTGAAATCACACAGCATTTCTTCTTTGCTTTGTCAGTGTGTTTTCACTGACAAGCCTCTGACACCAGTACCCTAAGCAGTCATTAGACCATTGAGGCAGACTTAGATTCCATTGTCTTGAAGCAATGACGTCAGTTTGACTGTTAAGCTATGTAAAAATGCAAACCCACAGAATAAGTAATCAAATCGGAAATTCATGTCTATACATCTTGACCTAGCTCCCCCACAGCTACTATTTTCACCCAACTACTTAAATCTTTGAGCAATTATTTGAACACTTTGATCCCGGAATTGTATTACTCTGTTTGAAGGTAATTCTATAGTGTGTCACTGTCATAGGCTATGTCATGATGTTGTGGTCAAATCCAGAATACATACCACAGAGGTACCAGATGATAATGAAATTAAAACTCAAATCACTATACTGACCAGGCCATAATAATGTATCTCCCTTATCAGGCACTGTAGTGATCCTGGCATAAACAAACCCACTGTCCCACAAGCTCCCAAGAGTCTGTCATTGCCACGCGCAGTTGTGTGGAGCATATAACACTTGGAAGTGATAGTAAGCCACTATGTCATTAGTATACTGGGTTTTTCCTCAAGAGTGTATTTTGACTTATAAAAAGCTTAATATAAAGCAGCTTGCCAGCTACACAGGCAGCACCCATGTTCATCTTATGTCTACTGCATCTTTTGATGGCACTAAAGGGCTAGGTGTAGTGATTGCCCTGTATCATCAAGGACTGTGACCCATCCAAATGGGTACACTATGAAAAGAGGGGTTCTGCCGGAAGGTGGTGGTGCACGCCTTTAATGCCAGCACTCGGGAGGCAGAGGCAGGTGGATCTCTGTGAGTTCGAGGCCAGCTGGGCTACCAAGTGAGTTCCAGGAAAAGGCGCAAAGCTACACAGAGAAACCCTGTCTCGAAAAACAAAACAAAACAAAAAAGAAAAGAAAAGAGGGGTTCTGTCCATGGCAATGAGAGGCAAGGGACTCCAGAGGGTATTCTTTTAATTTCTTAGATAGTCCCTTGTACATCTGCACGCTGGCTGTATTTTCTGTCCACAGAGAGAATACTCAAACTCAGAACATCTAAAGCTAACCTTTCTATGCAACTTCTCATCCATAGTAGATGTACCATCTCACTAGCCTCACATCTCCTTTCCAGTTGTCTCTCTAACCTCAAACACCACAGCCAATTAGCAACTTCAACGGTATTTCTAAAAGCTAGTTCCCATATGTCCTCTGCTGGTGCTTTAGTGTTATCAGTACATGACGAGGCCATTACAACAGCCTGCGACAGACCGCTCCTCACTGCCCACTGCCTTTTTGCAATGGATGTCATCATGAAAACAAATCCTCTTACTTAAAAGTTCTCATCTGCTTTCCATCACTAAATGACCAAATTCAATCTTTTTAGCATGACTTCAACCTATTTTTTCTTACATTCAGATCACCTGAATTAGCTACAACAAACTTCTTGAGAAGCTCATTCATACCACTGAATTTTATGTACATTTTTCCTCTACCTTGGGTCCCAATCTGTCTCTTGTTCAAGATAATGACCTCATGGTTACTCAAAATCCAGCTCAAATCATGTAAGTCCTTTACTAGCCTGAGACAAAACAACTGTTTCCTTCTGTCTGGCCAGGCAGTGATAGCACCCTTTTATTGCAGCATATACAGCCTTTAGCACCCTCCTATTACAGCACACACAGCCTATACTCCCTTCATGTTTTCCCTCCAAACTACAAGCTACTAAAAATATCTGTCCTTATATTTGTTTTCTTTTCCTCCTTTCCTGCTTTTCCTCCCCCACCTCAATCCACTACAATGTCATTTGAAAGAATTTAATAAATGCCTTATAGAATTACATGATCATAGCCCCACGCAGTCAAAGATAGCTATGTATTTGGTCCAACACAAAATCATAAATTTCCTTTAAAAATTATAAGATTTTAATGATCCATTTCATAACTTGATTGCACAGTTCTCAAGAATGAACCTTAAGAATATTGTAATGTTGAAAGGTTGGATGTGCCTGCAAGTCTGTCTATAAAAAATTCAAATATGATTATGTACTATTACTTACTAGATCTTACCAGATTTTAATAGGAACTACATTTAATATGTAGGTCATTTGAGGGAGAACTGACATCTTCAACACAGTAAATTTTCAAGTATATGAATATCATGGTCTGCTTTTAAATTTATGTTGTTGGTTTTTTATGAACATTTTGCAATTTCCACAACCAGATTCTGCACAATGTGATAAGTGCATACCAAAAATCTTCACTTTATTGGGAGAAATTGTAATAATATTGTTTTTAATTTGAGTTCTAGTGTTTCTGCAGTCCAAATATTTCTGTCCCCCCAACCCCACATGCTAAAATTGAATCCCTAGTGTGGGGTGTTAAGAGATAAGGATTTGGTGAGTGGGTCACGAGTGAAGTTAGTGGCCCTATTAAAGAGGCTCATGAGTGCTTACTTGTCCCTAATGATATATGAAGACACAGCAATAAGGCATCAAACTAAGAAGAAGGGAGCATCTGAGACACCAGTTCACCTAGCACCTTGGTCTTGGGATTCCTGGACTCTGGGCATGTGAGCAATAGGTCTCTGGTTTTTGTAAGTTTCCTAGTTTGCAACACTTTGCTATAGCAGCCTCTATGGACTAAGACATGTCCCTACTGCTATGGAGAATTGTGGTTGATTTCTGTTGATCTTATCCTGTAACTGGTGAGTCATCAGCTCCAGATGACTTCTGTCCTAGCCATTCCTACAGCTGCTGTTGTTTTGCTGTGTTCTTTTGTTCATGACTCCTAGGGGCTTCCTATGTAGCCAATCCTGTCATTCACAGTATGAATCAATAGAGGCAGACAAGCCTTTTCAGCAGAGGCAGTTTAACTATCCATTAGCTAAAAACATAAAAATGAATTCTGATGTAAATTTCACACACCTTATACAAAAGTTACCTCCAAATTATATGTGGACTTAAATGTAAAGTGTGCTCTATACATCCTTTAGGGAAAAAAGTAGGAGACAATGCTTAAAGTCCAGGACTTGGCAAGTTGTTCTAACAATTTATATCAAAAGTATGATTCAAAAAACAAAGAATTGTAGCCGGGCGGTGGTGGCGCACGCCTTTAATCCCAGCACTCGGGAGGCAGAGCTAGACGGATCTCTGTGAGTTCGAGGCCAGCCTGGTCTCCAAAGCGAGTTCCAGGAAAGGCGCAAAGCTACACAGAGAAACCCTGTCTCGAAAAACCAAAAACCAAAACAAAAAAACCCAAAAAAACAAAAAACAAAAAACAAAACAAAACAAAAAAACCAAAGAATTGTTCATATAGACCTCATTAAGACTTGCAGCTATGTGGGCACATGGAGAGACAAGCTAAAGACTGGGAGAATATACTTCTAACTCATATCTCTAAATGTAGGCCTGCTACTTAGAACAACAAAGAACAGCCAAATATAAGAGAAAAGGAATATCTGATTTTGCACAAATGGGCCAAAGGTCTGGAAAAACGTTTCACCAACAAAGAAGTTTCACAACAACAGATGGCAAACAGCATGTACAATAAGTGTCACTAGCCATAAAAGAAATGCACATTAACTCACCATGAAATGTAACAACATGTCCATTAGAATGGCTAAAAGGAAAGCAAGGAGGCTGACTATTTTGACTAAGATGCAGAGAAACTGAGTCACTCTACTGTGACTAGTGGGAAAGCAAAGTGGCACTGTGATTCTAAGCACAGC